TCTGAATGAATCAAATAGATGGACAAGAAATCAAGTCCACCATGATCCTTAGCTTTTGCAAACTGGACATTCTTTAAGCTGCTAATTTGTTGTTGTTGTTAAGTGTTGTTGAGTCAAGTTGGTTCCTACATATAAAGAACTTATATACGGGTTCCAAAGAGCGGCTGGTAGGTTTGAATCACCAATCTTGTGGTTAGCAGTCCAGTGTGATCCTACAGTGCCACGCCAGAACTTCAAATATGGGGGAGAGAGAGAGAGAGAGAAAGGAAAAATAGGACAACAGCAACCTCACAGTAGACAACAATGATTCAGTAGAATTGCAACTCCAAGCACTGTTAAAAGCTTGCATTCATCACAGGGAGTGGAGTTGGTGTGTATGGATTGTACATGTAAAAATATTTGAAATGGCAAATACTTTGTTTTTATATATATTCCACATTGCAAGATTGGCAGTTCAAATTCATATTGTTGTTGATGTCTAGTCGGTTCCGACTCATAGCAACCTTATATAGGGTTTCTGAGGAGCGGTGAGTTTGAACCACTGGTTTGTGGTTCAAATTGACCTCTTGTGGTCCAGTGCTTATCCTACAGCACCAAACCAGGACTTGCTAGAGTTAAAAAATATTTACTGATGAAGAGCAATTGCATCTTAATGTAAAGAAAACAAAAATCCTCACCACTGGACCAATACACAACATTTTTATCAAAGGAGAAAAGCTTGAAATTGTCAAGGACTTCATTCTTCTTGAATCAACTATCAACACTCATGGAAGCAGCAGTCAAGAAATCAAATGACATATCGCATTAGGCAAATCTGCTGCATAAGACCTTTTAAAAGTGTTGAAGAGCAAAGATGTCAGCTTGAGGACTAAGGTGTACCTGACCCAATCCATGGTATTTTCAATAATCTCATATGCATGTGAAAGCTGTACAGTGAATAAGGAAGACCATAGAAGAATTGGTGCTTTTGAGTTATGGTGTTTGAGGAGAATATTGTAAGTGCCATGGGCTGCCAAAAGAACCAACAGATCTGTGTTGGAAGAAGTGCAGTCAGAATGTTCATTGGAGGCCAGGATGGCCAAACTTCATCTCTCATACTTCAGACATATTGTCAGGAGGGACCAGAGGAAAAGAGGAAAACCCCCAGCAAGATGGATTAATTAGCAAAGTGGCCACATCAATGGGTTCAAGCATGACAACAGTAGTGAGGTTGGCCCAGGACTGGGCAGTGTTTTCATTCTGTTGTACATAAGGTTGCTATGAGTCGTTACCGAGTCGATGGCACCTAACAACAACAATAACAGTTTTTAAAAAAATGCTTGCCCATCAGTACAGGTTGCTGGAAAAGTTTTTGTTAGATTGGTAAAATTTGCTTAACTTTATCACTTAGTCAAACTGGTGGTTGACTTTGACGAATGGGCTAAGTGAGAATTGGATTTCTGGAGTATTCTAGAATGATAGTTGATGCTTTCTACCTGAGAGATGCTGCCCCCCAGCCCCCAGAGGGCGACAGTACGCTAGCATCACGTGAGACCCCTGTCCTCCAGTGCACTTCTTGCAGGTGGGGTCCAGGTAGGGGACTTCTGAAGACAGTTGGAATCCGGGAGTTCCGGGATAAAAGAATCTCTCTTCACTCCCAGCCCGAGGCAGACTTCACCCACTTGGAGGTACTGCAGGCGCTGGAGGCGGAGCTACCTGGGGCCATGGAGAACGGACGCGTGAACAGTATCCGCTTTGAGAACATGAATGTCATCTGTGGGACTGCCGGGCGCCGGAACCGGTGAGCTTGACTCTGGGACCCAACTCGAGCGACCAAGGGGCGGGGCTTGGAGTGAGCGCAGGAGGGGCGGAACCGGAGCTGAGGGGGCGGGGCTTGGAGTGAGCACACGAGGGGCGGAGCCCGAAGCGACAAGGTCTGAGAGGCGAGGGGGCGGGGCAGGAGGAGCGGGGAGACTTTGAGTTCAGTGAGGGGCGGGGCAAGGAGTAAATTAGGCGAGGGGGGCGGAGCCAAGGTAAAACAGTGAGGGCTGTGAAGTCCCGGGCAGGGTGAGATCAGCAGTTGGGTAGAGTCTATGGGGGAAACAGAATGCGTGACCCAGAAACTGACCAGGAAGTGCAGGACCGAGCTGAAAGGGCAGAGCCTGGAATGACAGTTATGAGGGGGCGGAGCCTGCACTGAGCACATGGTAGGAGCAGGTGAGATAAAAGAGTCGGCCTGACAAGGCATACGATTTTTCTCTCTGGGAGAAAAATGTGGGCTGTCTGCTCCCGTAAAGATTGTTGTTGTTAAGTACCATCGAGTCGAGTCGGTTCCGACTCATAGTGATCCTACAAAGGGTTTCCAAGGAGCAGTTGGTGGCTTCGAACTGTTGATCTTGTGGTTTGCAGTCCAGTGCTGATCCTACAGTGCCATACCAGGAGTCCCCATAAAGACTGTTGTTGTTATGTGCCGTGGAATCGGTTCCAACTCATAGCCACCTTGTACAGGGTTTCTGAAGCTTTAAATCCTTATGGGAGCAGAAAGCCTCATCTTTCTCCTGCCAAACAACTGGTAGTTTCGAACTGACTTGAGGTTTGCAGCCTGATTTGTGACCACTACACTACCAGAGCTCCTTTTGACTTATAGCAAAAGATTAGCAGTGGACTAATCTTTAGTTTGAGGATTAAGGCGCACCTGACCCAAGCCATAGTATTTTCAATAACCTCATATGCATGCGAAAGCTGGACAGTGAATAAGGAAGATCATAGAAAAATTGATGCTTTTGAGTTATGGTGTTGGAGGAGAATATTGAAAGTGTCATGAGCTGCCAAAAGAACCAACAGATCTGTGTTGGAAGAAGTGCAGCCAGAGTGCTCCTTGGAGGCCAAGATGGCCAAACTTTGTCTCTTATATTTAGAACATATTGTCAGGAGGGACCAGTCGCTGAAGAAGGATATCATGTTTGGTAAGGTGGAGGATCAGAGAAAAAGAGGAAGACCCCCACCGAGATGGATTGGCAAAGTGGCAGCATCAATGGGCTCAAGCATGGCAACAATTGTGAGGTTGGCCCAGGATCAGGCAGTGTTTTTTTCTGTCGTACTTAGGGTATCTCTGAGTCGTTACCGAGTCTATGGCACCTAACAACAACAACAATTTTTACAGGAACTCTGGTGGTACAGTGGTTAAGCACAGGACCGTTTAAACCCATCAGCCCACTCCGTAGGAGAAATAGACGTCAGTATTTTTCTTATAAAAATCTTATATAAATATCTTTAAGATTCACAGCCTCGGAAGCCCTACCGAGCAGTTCCACCTTGCCTTATAGAGTTGTTGTTGTTGTTGTCATTGAGTCAGCTCCAACTCCTAGCGACCCTATATAGGGTTTCCGAGGAGTGGCTGGTGAGTTTGAACTGTCAACCCTGAGGTTAAAACTGACCTTGCGGTCCAGTGTTTTATCCCACAGGGCCACACCAGTCCCCATAGTGTAGGGTCAATTAATTGAAAAAACTTAGTTGTAGCTTTATGTTACTTTTTATGTTACCTCGCAGTAAACAGTTTATTTCAGTTTGGAACACAGATCCCATCTTTTGAGATACGACCAAAGCATTTCTTTGATTTTGGGTCCAGGGATCGGAGCTGTGCACACCTAATGCATCATTCTCAATGTCCAGCTTTGGTTCTTTAAATTGAAAGGAAAATTTAGTCTCAACTGACTGAGCTGTTCTGACTAGATTTTCTTAAAAGTCTAGATGTATATAATTTCCCCCTCAAACTTGTACATTTCTTTTGTCTATACCTAATTGGAAAACAATACTTAGAAAAAATTGTGGTAAAACATATGCATATATAACATAAAATTCATCGTTTTAACCTTTAAAAAGTATATATATAATACAGTGAAGTCCTACTGTGGCACTGTGGGTAAATGCGCGGGATTGCAAATCGGTTTGAACCGTAAAGTCGGCGGTTCAAGCTCACCAGCTGCTCCTTGGAAACTATACACCGTCACTGTGGGTCGGACTCACCTCAACGGCACTTAACAACATAGGGTCATTATGATTAACAACAACATGGGGTTATTATGAGTCGGAATTGACTGTCTAGCAGAGGTCAGAGTGCAGGATGGGGGCGGAGCCGGGATTAGGGGGTGGGTCTGAGAGCCATATTGAAGAGGCGGGGCCAGATCCTATGCGGGAGAAGGGTCTAGAATTACTCAGGTAGGGGCACGAGATAACCTAGTGGGTGCAGGTCGAGGGGCGGGAAGAACGGACCGGAGTCAGTAAACCGACCGGGACCAAACAAGGAACGCCCGCGAATTCCCCTTTCCTCTCCGCCCCTTCCCCGTAGGTGGCTCATCTCGGTCACAGACTTCCAGACTCGTTCACGCCTGCTACGCTCTGGGCTCTGTCCTCGCGGCCTCGCGCACCACTTGGTGCGCCACGACGAGCTGCTACTGAGCGATTACCGCCTGCACCTGCGCCGCTCTCTGGCCCGAAGGCGCATGCTCGAGGCCTTGGGGGCGGAGCCGACCGAGGAAGACTGACGCGTGGGCCCGAGCCCTGGCTGCGCTTGCGCACCGCCTGGCAGGTTCGGGTGCCCCTCCCAGATCCCTGGAAGAAAGGGGTAGAGGCCTCCCCAGGAAGCAGGCGGGGCCGGCTCGAGGGGGTGGATACTGTTAGTTTAATTATAAAGAATGACCTGGTACAAAAGCCATTTCTCTCTGCAAAATCTTGGTGAGGAGTCAGGGGGTGGGAGATGATGGGAGGTAGGGACGAACCCCCATATTATAATCCCGCCTCCCTATCTTCCACTAGTTCCTGCAATGGACGCCTGGGTTCCCATCCCATGAGGGGTAGACTGAGGCCCAAGAGAGGAAAGACCCGGGTGGCCGGCTTTCCACGAGTGCTCTCTGGTCTCAGAGAGAACCAGACGTCCTGACCCGCCCCCCTCTTCTTCCCCCTCCCGCCCCCCTTGGAAGACAATTTTCGGGCTTTTATTTCAGGGTTTTCTTCTGGATTTTTTGTGTGATCTAGGTTTTTTGTTTTTTTTTTCCTCTTTTTTTTTTTTTTTTTTTAATATTTTGTTATTGTTCCTCTTTTTGCTGTGTCTCTCCTGTGTCCCCATCTAGTCCCTCCCTTCCTCCCTTCCCACCCTACCTTTCCTCCCTCCCTCCCCAACCCTTCCCCCCTTCCCCAACCCCGCGGTACCCATCCAGAATGAACAAGCCCTTGATAGATGGGCACCGCGCAGGCCCCCTGCGGAGGGGGGCAGCCAACATAGGGGAGGGGGCGGGGAGGGCCCCAGCGCAACCTCCGACCCCTGTTTGCCACCCTCCCCCCTCCCAGAGCCCTCCCACAAGTTACCCCGCAGATCCCTGACTTGGTGAGGGGAAGGGGCTGCAAGCCTCCCACCCACACACCCATGGACGGAGCGCCCCTCTCGGGGGCAGCAGAGGGGAAATGGGCTTGGGGGGGGGACGGAGGGGGAGCTCCCTTCTTTGGCAGCTGAACATGGGGGACCTGAGGGCGAGGCCCTCCCCCCTTTACCTACATTAGGGGAGGGGACTTCTGGGGGGGGGGAAGGGTGGCTGAAAAATCCCAAGCCCCAGAAATAAGGGGAGGGGGCGTGCGGGAGAGGAGGAGCCATGCTGGAGGGAGGGTCTCTTGGAGAGAAAGGTTAGGGGAGGGGAGGAACTTCGTGCTGAAAGGATGGACAGATGGCCCAGGAAGGACCCTGAAGAGTGTGGGGTGGAGATGAGAGACTGAGGATGAGGCAGGGAGCGGAGGAAATGGGGTGTGGGGAGCCTGATTTGCAGGAAGCAAGTGTGCATAGGGTCCTCTTACCAGGAAGCGCAAGGTGGTAAGAGATTAAGAGTGAGTTAAGAGGGGAGACGCTCCAAGGGCTCACATCCTTTATAGGAGAAAAAATAAAGGTTCCCCGGGAAAGAAACGATATAGACAGGCTGAAGAGGACGGGAGATGAAACCAGTGCACAGCAAGAAAGAGGTGGTGGAGAGTGAATTATTCGCCAAAGGGAAGAAGTAGAAAGGCAAGATTGCATGCGTGTGCCATCAAGTCCCAGTGTGCGAGAACGTTGTCAGAGGGAGAGAAAGCGAAACAAAGCAGGCAGAAGTGCTGGGACAATGCTCCGCGCGTGTGCTAGAGTCAAGAGTGAAGGTGGTTAATGGTTTGAGGCAAGGGAGTGCGTGCCTGGCAGAGAGGAAAGAAAGGAAGGAGGATTTGAGAGAGAAAAGGTTCCCTGGAAGTAGGTGTGCATGGGATGTGTTAAATGTGACAATATGAGAAGGAGAAGCAACAGGCATGGCTATGAGAGGAGACGTGGCGTACGAGAAAGCCTTTGGGGAAAAGTGCAAGAAAGTGTGTTAGGACAGGTGCACACAACAGCACTGTGCAAGGGCTGAACAGAGAGAAGAGTATCTCGGAGAATAAATATGTATGCAAGGAGTCCGTTGAGCTAATGAGGGAAAGTGTGCCCCAAGTGTGTCTGCAGCAAGGGTCCAGAGATTTCAAGAAGTGAGTGTGCACAGGAGAGCTCGTGGGACAAGAGTGTGTGAGCAAGAGCCAGAGAGCGAGCAAGAGCCAGAGAGCGAGCGAGCGCACAGGGCCTGAACATGGAGAGAAAAGCACAGGGTGTGGTGGAGAGCTGAGTGGCTTCCAGAGAGCCCGGAGGTGAAGGTGTACATGTGCAAGAGAGCGAGAGGGCAAATTTGTGCAAAATTGCAGCCCAGGGAGGGGAGGGACAGGGAAGAGAGGCAAACAGGCGTGCAAAGAAGCGTGCAAGAGGCCAGGGTGGTGGTGCAGGGCAGGGCCGGCAGCTGTGTGTGCTGGGGGAGAAGAGAAGGGGGGGAAGAGTTGAGGGGCCTGGAGAAGTGGGAAGGTTGTTAGAGGAGCGGCAGGTGGTGGAATCTGAGAGCACTCCCTTCCCCTGGGGCTTGGGGCAGGCCCCCATCCCATCAGGCTCAGGGTTGACCCTCTATGGCTCTGTCTGTCCCCCCCCCCCCAAGTCCACCCTTCCCTCCTAACTCCTTCCATCCTCCCTCCGCTCCCCGCTTCACACACACACACACACACATACACACACACATACACACACACAGAATCATATGTCAGCTGCCCCCTCTTGTGAGGTGTAAATGCCCAGCTGGATCGGCCTCCTGGTGACCCCCACCGGCCTTGGGGAACTGGGACAGGGCACAGTTTCAGCAGAGTGCCCAGCCCAGGCTGGGGTGGGGGTGGGGAGGATGATGGTCAGTGGTCAGAGGTCAAGAGGCCAGCAGGCTCTAGGGTTCTGTGGACGGGCTGGTCCGCCCAGTCCAGCCATCACCTCTCCAGGAAAAACTTGAGCGCCCGGTCAATGTTCATTCGGTGGCCCACCCTGGTTACACCCAGATCAACGTAGTCCTCCTTGGTCAAGGCGGGCAGGTGGGAACCGTCAATCTCATGGTCCAGAAACTGGGCACGGTGCTCAGCCAAGCCCAACCACTCCAGCCAATCGGCCACGTCGAACTTGGTCCAGAAGCCCAGGGGTTTAGCGCCAAATGGCTTGTCCGGGGGCAGCGAAAGCAAGCGGGTTGGTGAGAGGGAGCGGGAGGCGCTGGACAAAGCCCCTCCAAGGCCCCCAGACATCCCCGGGTGGGGTGGCACGAAGACGGGGGCAAAAGGGTCAGCAGAGCCTCCAGCTCCTCCAGTGGGAGAGCCGCGGATGTCAAAGAGGCCTGGGTAGAGAGGTCCGGAGGGCAGGATGGGCAGGGATGAGGGTCTTGGAGCAGGGCTGACCTTGTGATCTGATGCGGGCAGCAGCGAGGGGCTGGGGGCCCGGCGGAGCAGAGGGGGCCGCATCTCAAAATCCACACCCTGGAGGTGGCGGGTTGACGTGGAGGAGGAAGCTGAGGGCGAGGTGGCCCCTGGGGCCACAGCGGCCGATGGGGGGACCCCTGTTCCTGTAGGGAGCGGTGGCAGAGGTGGCTTGGGCCAGTTCTGAAACAGGCTGCTGACTGGTTTGGAGAGAAGCGAGGACTGCGAGTCATCTGAGAGTCTGGAACGTGATAAGTGGGCAGGGGTGGAGGGGAGAGGGGGTGTGGGGAGCAAAGGTGAGGGTGGAAAAGAGGCAGAGGTCAAGATATGGAGGGGAGAGAAGTAAGGAGACAGAGCGGGCAGGGTTAGAGAGATGGAGAGGAGAAGAGGTGGAAGGGTCCAGGGGGCAAGATGGGTATGAGAAGAGAAATGAAGGGGGGAAAGAGACAGAGACCAGGGAGAGGGGACAGTCAAGAGAGATGAAAGAAAAAGAGACATTAAGTGATAGTTATAATAGCAGCCACCGTTTACTGATGCGCATGTGTGTCAGGCTTGGTTCTAAGTGCTTTGCATATCAAATCTCAATTTAAGCCCCACCCCCACCCCCACAACAGCCCTGGTGCAGGTTACTGTGATGATCAGCACAGAGAGGTTTTAATAACTTGCCTAAGGACACACAGCCAGGAAGTGGCAGAGCCGGTTAGATGGCACCGAAGTCTGAGCTCTTAACCACTATTCTATACTGCCTTTTGGGGTATGGCCAGTTACAGCAGAGTGGTAGATGGGGAGACAGTGAGGGAGGAACAAAAAAAGAGGGTGAGCATCCAGGGGAGAGATGGAAGGGGACAAGGGACACAGAGAGAGAAAGAGATGAGGAGAGGGAGATGAAAGAGCAGAAACAAGGGGAGAAAAAGGTTCCCCCCGTCTCTTTAGCTCCCTCAAGCCTGGTTCCACCACAGGGCTTTTGTACTGGCTTTTCCCTCTGTCTTGATAGCTGTTCCCCCAGGCAGCCATGGGGATTCATTCCCTCCCCTTCTCCAGTCTTGGATCAATTTGTCTATTACTAGAGACATTTTCTAACCATCCCATAATTGTACTTTTAAAAGCAGAATGGACACATTAATTTTATTTATTATCTGCCCTCACTCACCACCCCCCAACTAGAATATCATCTCCATAAAGGAGGGACTTAACCTGTCTTGGCCATTGCCGTGGGGTTTCCCCATCACCTGAAGGGCACCTTACATGTACTGATGCATCTCTTAACCAAATTAAGCATCCTCTTGTCTCTCCAGAATACTTAAGAATCAATGAGTTGCCATAAGACCTCAGAGGCCTGATAAACCCACGTTCTAATATCAACCATAAAGGTATCAAACCCTATAACAGAATGAGAATGAGCTCTGGAGATGGGCAAGAGGATTTGAAAACCTTTCCCCACCCTATGTGTCCAGGCCAGGAATGGGATTCCCACTTTCCCCAAGACTCTTGCTGCTCTGTGCTATGGAGCCAGGTTCAGACTCAGCGATACATAGGGTTTCTGTGGCTGTAAATCTTTTTGTGAGAAGAAAACCTCATCTTTCTACCGAGGAGGGGCTGGTTGATTTGAACTGCTGAACTTGCAGTTAGTATCCCAACGTGTAACCTACTAGGTCACCAGGGTTCCTTTTCCCCAAAGACTAGGAGGCCTTGATTGGCTTCGGAGTTTATTTGTGGTGGTCCCAGCTAAGCTAGGTTGGAAAACATCAGCAGCTTGTAAAAGCGGCCCCTCCTCTCCTGCATCTCATGTTCTAACAATTGCCGATCCATCTTTACTTCTCCTGACAACCTCACTAGGCAGACACAGTGCGGTCTCCTTCCTGTAGAAAGGTGGCTTCCTTAGAAAATGCAGAGCTGAATCTGGGCTCCACACATTTGGGTTCCAGAACCCCCACTTGTAATCACATGGTCGCAAGAGTCCCATTTTTGAACCAGACTAGGTTCAAGGGACTGTCAGAATGGACAACTCCACCCAGGAAACAGCCATCAACACGTTTGGCTCCAATCTCCTTGGTTATTAACTCTTGTTTCCACCAGGGGTGTTGCAGATTGTTCACAGAAATGACCCAAGATAACCAAACCCAAAAAAAAGAGTCCAATGTGGGAGTTGATTCCAACCCCCACAGTGACCCTGTGGGACAGAACACATCTGTCGCTGTGGGTTTCCAAGGCTGTAAATCTTCACAGAAGAACATCTTTATTCCTCGAAGAGGATTTGCAAGTCTGAACCTTTTGTTTAGTAGTTGAACTTTAACCATTGCAGTACCATGAGGCAACCAAACCCAATTGTCATCTAGTCGATTTCAACTCACAGCAACCCAATATAGGGTTTCCAAGACTGTAAAACTTTACCAGGGCAGACAGCTTCATCTTTCCCCCAAGGATTGGCTGATGGGCTTAAACTAACCCACGTGTTACCAGCACTCCAGACTGAGATCAAGGGAAGTTTAAAGCTTTTGCGAGAAAGCAGACTCCTTTGAGGGAAAACGGAGCCAACCTGTTTCCTTTCTTCCACCCCGAGAGACCTTAAAGGGACACAGCTATGGGGTGGGGGTGGGGGGGGAGGTGGATTCTGGTAGCCACCACAACCACCCCACTGGTCTCTGGTGCCAGGCAATGGTCAGCCCCTGCTCACCTCTGCCGCTGCAAGGAGGAAGTTCTCTCGGGGACGTAGCTGGCTCCCCCGTGGTGGCTATCCCCGCTGCCTCCCCGGGCCCAGGGCAGGGCGCCGCCGGCCGCCGAGCCCCCAAACTGCTGGAGCTTGGAGCTGAGCTCATTGATGATGCTGGCCTTGACGGTGGCCAAAGCTGAGGCTTGGGGCGGGGCCAGGGGCCCAGGCAGCGGTGGTGGCGGCGGGCCGGGACCCTCCTCCCAGGGTAGCAGCTTCCGAGGCAGGGAGGAGGCTGTGGACAAGGCCATGGGCGGGCCTTCGGGTTCTACAGACACAGGACCCCCGGACACACCCGCCGTCGAGGGTCCTGAGCAGCCGCTCAGGGCCAGCAGTCCATCGGTTCCAGCCCCTGTCACGGACACGGTGGGGCTCGTGGGGGTGACAGGGTCTCGGAGTCCGCCACCGGGCCCGGGACGTAGGCCTCCGCTGCCCCCCAGCGCCCGGCCGCGGAGCTTCGAGGGGGTCATGAGCTGCGGGGGGTACGGCGGGCCGACAGGTCCGCTGCCCCCGAAGGCTTGGCCGTCCAGGTAGGCCACATAAGTGTCCAGGAGCTCTGGCCCGCTGGCCCCACCTCCCACACCACCGCCTCCGCTGCCGCCCCCTTCGGCAGAAAGACTGCTCAGCGTGGAGGCGCTGCTAATGGTCTCCAGAGGGTGGTCACTGCTGCTACGACTGTCCACCTCCTCAATGCCAGAATCAGTGCCGGGTGGGGGGTCCGGGCCGGGCTGGGGAGCTACGGGGGCCGGAGCAGCGGCGGCCGGCGGGCCTGGAGGAGGGGGCTCCCCAGGAGTTGTAGGGGCCCCCTGGGTCAGCGTAGCCACCTCGCTGTCATAGGAAGTCAAGCTGGAGGCGGTGGAGTCCAGAGTGGGCGGAGCAGCGGCGGCCTGGGGTGGCCCGGCTGGCAAGGGGGTGGCGGGGGTGGGCGGGTCCGGTAGTGGGTGGGGAGGCCCGGGGGTGAGGGGAGATTCGGGCTTTTCGAAGCTGTTGGAGAACTCCAGAGGCGGGGGGAGCGGTTCCACAAAGAGAAACTCTCCGTCCTCCACATCCACTGAGGGTGCGGGCGGCGGCAAGACCAGTAGGGGGAGCCCGTTCTCTTCGCCGCCCCGCGGGGAGGTGGGCGAGGGCGGCACCGAGCGGCGCGGGCTGGGCGGCGGGACCCCCGGCCCGTCCTCCGCTGGGGGACCCCTTCCGCCTACCCCGCCGGCCCGCGGCTGGCAGTTTTCAAGGAACCGTACGTGCAAGGGCAGCCGCTCGGGCTCCTCGGGGGCGCTGGACCTCCAGGCCTTGCTGACCCCAGGGTGAGGGGTCGGGGGCTCAGGTCCCAGCTGCAGCAGGAGGGGCCCGACCCCAGGGGCCGTGGGGGGCAGGCGGTGCAGTAGAGAGCGGCGTGCGGCCGGCGGGCTGGCCGGGAGAGCTTTCTCCTGGCTGCCCAGCCCTGCCCGGTACCCCAGCTCCCGGCGGGCGGGGTCCGGGGGGGCCGCCCCCCAGAGACGTAGCACTGGCTCGTGGTGGGCGTGGGGTGAGTGGTGGTGCGGGGTGGGCGGCGGGGCGTCGTAACGGGGCGATGGAGGCCTGGGAGGGGGTTGGGGGGCTCCGCCGCCCTCTGAGGACTCCTTCAGCGCTCGCTCCCGGGCGGCCAGGGCCAGCCCGAGAGGGGACGCGGGGTCCAGGGCTTTGCCGGTCAGCGGGTGGACCAGTGGCCGGGGGGGCAGGAAGCTGGTGAAGGCGCTGCTGCCCCCGCTGCCCCCGTAGGCGCGGCTGCCCGCTCCGTAGCCCCCGTAGCCGCCACCACCCCCGGAGCCCCCCGCCTCAAGCCGCAGGTAGGGCTCGGCAGAGAACATGCCTTCGTCGATGGACTTGGAGTGGCGCAGCCGGGGCCCCGGGGGCATCCCGGCCCCCAGCCCGCTGTCGCCATCCTCGTCCCCCGCGTCGGTAGAGAGGAAGAGGGTGGACCTCCGGCGCGCTTCGTTCTGCCAGCCCCCTTCCCTCCGAGCCGCGCCCACTAGGGCGGCGCCGAACTGACTGGTGAAATCCAGGGTGGCCGGGCCGCTGGGGGAGGCGGGGGTGGGCACAGGCGAGGGGGACGGCGGCACGGGTGACATGGTGGGCGCAGGGCTGGGCGCCGAGGACCCGCCACCCCCTGCGCCCTCGGCCTGGTTGGGGGGCTCCGCCTCAGTGCTGCTCCCCTGACTACTGCGGCCGCTGCTACTGGTGGACGGAGCCTTGATGATGATGGTGGGGATAGGAATGGAGTTCTTCTCGGAGGAGGTGGCCGCGGTCGGTGGCGGCTGTGGGGAGGCCGGCGACGTGGGCGACTGGGTCGACGGGAGACCGCTGGAGCCCTTCTGGGGCTCGCCCTCCACCTTGGTCTGCTTGACCAGGGGGCCCTTCCGGCCCCGGCCCGAGCGCGCAGGCACGTACATGGCCGCGCTGGCCGCTCGCGGGGGCAGCTGGAAGTAGCGCAGGGCAGGGCCCTGAGAGGAACCGCTGCCCCCGCCGCCGCCCCCACCGCCATGGTGGGATGAGGACGGTGCTCCGGGGGTTGGGCTGGGTCCCCCGCCCCGCCAGCCGCGCAGGCTGGGTTGGGGCCCCAGGGCCAATCGGGGTGGGGGGTCATCCGGGGAGCCGCCCGTCTCCATCTCCGGGGGATGCGGGGGGTGCGCGTGGTGATGGTGGGACTGTGGGGGTGGGGCATGGTGGTGGTGGTGGTGAGGTGGGTGGTGATGGGCAGGGGGCAGGGGGCCGCCATGGTACAGGCTCTTCTCACGGCCCCCAACGCGGGTGTCAGGAGGGGAGGGCCCATCGAAGGACGAGGGGGAGGAGGCGGGGTGCCCTGAGCCGGGGTTGAAGGGGCCTCCCCTGAGAGAGGGGGTGAGGCGTCCAGAGGAGGAAGGGGCTGGAGGTGTACTGTAAGGGGGCTCCGGAGGGGACGTGGTGGGCGGCGGAGGAATATCCTCCGACCCAGGTACAGACAGACTGCGGCTGAACTTCATGGTTGGGGGCGCTAGGTAGGGTCTTTCATCTTCTGCAGCCCCTGGGAGAACAGAAGGTGGAGGAGCAGACCTTGGCGGGGGAGTGGCCTGCTTGCTTCCCTATCCCAGAGAACCACACACAATACATGATGATGATGATGACACTACTAATAAGCACTGGACTGCTAACCACAAAGGAGCTCTGGTAGCGTAGTGGTTACGAATCGGGCTGCGAACCTTAAGGTCAGCGGTTCGAAACTACCAGCCGCTCCGCGGGAGAAAGATGAGGCTTTCTACTCCCGTAAAGATTTACACCCTCAGAAACGCTGTACAGGGTCGCTATGGGTCGGACCCGACTCGACGGCACTTAACAACAACAACAACAGTGGTTACGAATCCGGCTGCGAACCTTAAGGTCAGCGGTTCGAAACTACCAGCCGCTCCGCGGGAGAAAGATGAGGCGTTCTACTCCAGTAAGGATTTACACCCTCGGAAACCCTATACAGGGTCACTATGGGTCGGAACCGACTCGACGGCACTTAACAACAACAACAATATTGACACCCAGTATATAGTAACATAGTGGTTATGAATCGGGCTGCTAACCTCAGAGTCAGCAGTTAGAAACTACCAGCTGTTCTGCAGGAGAAAATGAGGCATTCTGCTCCTGTAAAGATTTACAGCCTCAGAAACCCTGTACAGGGTCGCTATGGGTCGGAACCGACTCGATGGCACTTAACAACAATATTGGCATCCAGTATATAGTAACATAGTGGTTATGAATCAGGCTGCTAACCGCAAAGTCAGCAGTTCGAAACTACCAGCTGTTCCGCGGGAGAAAGATGAGACTTTCTGCTTCCGTAAAGATTTACAGCCTCGGAAACCCTGTACAGGGTCGCTATGAGTCGGAAGTGACGCCACGGCACATAACCACCACCACCATAGGCTAAGAACGTCTTATGGATTAACCCAGAGCTCCCCTAGGCATCACAAGTCCTATTCACGCAGTCGGAAGCGTTGTGCACTGAACGACAGCAAACAGTGTTGTTATGTGACGTTGAGGCGGTACCAACTCATATCCACCTTATGCCCAACAGAATGAAACACTGCCTGGTCCTGTGCCACCCTCACAATCACTGCTGCTGCCATTGAGCCAATCCATCTCATTGGGGGGGGGTCTTCCTCTTTTTTGCTGACCCTCCACTTTGCCCAGCATGATGTCCTTCTCCAGGGACTGGTCCCCCCTTGATAATATGCCCGAAGTAAAAGAGATGAAGTCTGGCCATCCTGGCTTCTAAAGAGCATTCTGACTGTACATCTTACCAACGCAGATACTTTTAATATTCTCCTCCAGCACCGTAAGTCAAATGCATCAATTCTTATGTGGTCTCCCTTATTCACTGACCAACTTTCACATGCATGTGAGACTATTGAAATATCATGGCTTGGGTCAGGTGCACCTTAGTCCTCAAACTGACATCTTTGCTCTTGAGCACTTGATGTTATTTATTGATCCAGTTGTGAGGATTTTTGCTTTCTTTACATTGAGGTGTTTGTAGCCCATACCGAAGGCTATGGTCTTTGATCTTCATCAGCAAGTCTTTTAAGTCCTCTTCATTTTCAACAAGGAAGACTGTATCATCTGCATATCGCAGGTTGTTAGTATCCTTCCAATCCTGACACCATGTTCTTCTTCATATCATCCAGCTTGTGTGACTCATGATGATCACATGTGTGTCAGAGTAGAACTGGGCTCCATAGGATTTTCACTGACTAACTTTTGGCAAGTATACTGCCAGACCTTTCTTCCAAGGTGCCTCTGGGTGAACTTGAACTGCCAACCTTTTAACCATTTGTACCATCCAGGGGCTCTGACTTCATAAATGCGAGAATCACACTAGTGGCACCTTTCTTCCGAGATGCCTTTGGGGGGCATAAACCTCTTAGCCTTTGGTTGAGAGCCCAACACCTGAGCTATTTTCACCACCTAGGGATTCCAGAGGGGACCAGGAAGGGCTGAATTTCAGCCGACTGTCCTTCCCAAGGCCACAGGGGGTGTCCTTCCCTTATTTTCACAAAGGTGTCCTATCTGGGAGCGGTGGTTTGGAATGAGTAAATGTGACTTGAGCTGGGAAGGACTCACAAAATTTTATTTGTGTGGCTGCATATTTCTGAATCCACATGTCTTCAGAACAGAAAGCTGTGAGATAGCTGCCTAGGATGAAGCTAATGTTTATACGAGGGTGCCTATAATATATAGAAAAATATTAGATAAATGAGGAAAAATGAGTCTAATACTGCAATAGATAAGCACCGAAGAGAAAGAAGTGGCAGTCAGCTTCCATCAAGATTCCAGCCTTGGAAAGTCCTTGTTGTTGTCGTCTTTGGGTGATGTCACATCGGTCCCCATTCATAGTGACCTGTCTGCGTAACAGAAGGAAACACTGCCCGCTTCTGTGGCATCCTCACAACTGTCATGTTTCAGCCCACTGTTGCTGCCACTGGGTCAATCCATCTTGTAGAGGGTCTTCCTCTCTTGTTGATCTGCCACCTGATCAAGCATGATGGCCTTCTCCAGGGACTGATCCCTCCTGGCAATATGTCCAAAGAACGAGAAGTCTCATCATCTTTGCCTCTAAAGAACATTTTGGTTGCACTTAAGACAAATGTGGTCTTATGGCTGTCTGTGGTATTTTTAATACTCTTTGCCAACATGGAAACCTTCTAGGGTATTTCTCCTCTATCCTAGAAGGTCATTAGGAGTTAGAGTGGACGCAAGGGCAATGAGTTTTTGTAAATGAGGAGATACAAGCCAAAGAAAAGCAAACAGGTGATGTCTAGACAATTCTAACTCAAGGTGATTCCGTGTGTGTCAAGAAAGAACTGTGTTCGGAAAGACTTTCAATGGCTGATTATTTTGAAATATATTTCCAGGCCTTTCTTTCCAGGTACCTCTGTATGGACTTGAACTGCCAACCTTTTGGTTCGTACCCAAAGTGCATGAACTGCTCCGTTGAGGCAGGCACTCTGAGACACAGGCTGACTTCATCAATGCAAGAATCTCACTGGTGAACGGTGAACTTCAAAAATTTCGGAAAAGCTGGACTTCTGGCAAGTTGGCAGACAAGGACGTTTTGGAAAAGCTGGATCAGATCAGCAAAACCCTTCAGGGAGATTTAGAAAAGTTGAGTCTTTTGCCTACTTAGCAACTGCCATGCCCCTTTGCTGATCTCGCCTCATGACTATATGCCAATTCTCTTACTGACAACTTTTCTGCTCCATTCTCTCCTCCAAACTCCAGACTCTTGGAACCAGATATTCACCCAACACAAAAACCAAACCTGTTGCCATGAGTCAGTTCCAACTCAGGGAGGCCCCATGTGTTACTGAATAGAACTGATCCATGGAGTTTTCTTGCCTGTAAGTTTTATGGAAGCACTGCTGAGTGGGGTCAGACAGGCAACCTTTCTGTTAGCAGCCAAGCGCTTCTCCCTGGATGTCTCAGAGGCCTCGCAAACTTGACAAGTCCCAAACCAAGCCCTGAATCTCCCCCAGTCAGCCCCGCTATGGTCTCCCTCATTTCAAGTCCAGAACTTTAGCGTCATTCTTGACTGCTTTTTTTCCCTTACATCACCCATATCCGGTTCATCAGCAAATCCTGCCGTTTTCCAAATGTAGCCGAACACTTCTCACCCCGCCACAGTCACTGCCCAGATCCACTAGCGGACTGTTCCCACCTGGACAGATTGCCTGCTTCTCCTCTGGTCTCAGTCTCCTAGCTTCTGCCCTCAACTCCCTCAGTCTGTTTCTCCATGCGGCCACCAGAGGGCGCCTATGAGAACCTCAGTCAGCTCCAGTCACTCCTGGGCTCCCCACCCCTGCACACGCTGAACCCTTTTTCCCTCTTTGATCGCTTGTCCTTCTTCTCTAAGCCCTCGCAAAATTTGACACACTTCTTTGTCGTTTGTCATGCGTGTCAGACACGCAAGCTGCCTCAGGGCCTTTGCACTGGCTGTTTCTTCTGTGTGGAATGACTGCCTCACCTTCAGGTATCTCCAGGGCTCGCCCTTCATCTTCAAAACCCTTCCTGCAGAACTTCCAGTCTCCCCTTGCATAACTCCACTTTCCCTTTTCTGACCACTGCTAACTTGCCGCAGGCACTTAAGTTTATTGTGTGTTGCTTCATTGTACTTCGCAGATAATGCATTGGGCGAGTCAATCAAGCACCAGTTTTTCAACATCATGGGTTCACGTCATGTATCTGTGCCACATTTTGGTCATTCTCACAAGATTTCCAATGTTTTCAGCATAGACCACGGGGTTAAGCATAACTTTTCCATGCACGGCAAAACTATTCATGTGACTCACTTTATTGTGGTGTTCTGGCATCAAACCCGCGATAGCTCCAAGGTCTGCCAGTATATCATTTTCTTCTTTCTTATCTTCATCATCTATTTTCTGTCGCCTTCTACTAAAAGGGGGGCAGGACTCTTGAGTCTGTTTTGGCTACTGATGCATCCTCAGGAGTCTTAGACAATGCGTGGCATTTGAGTGAAAGGAAAAAACAAATTAGTAATCTTGGAAATCGGTAGCCTTGGAGTTGAGTCTCCATGTGTAGTGGAGTAGAACTGTGCTCCCAATGGCTGAGTTTCCACAAGTGGATTACAAGGTCCACTAGCGATCTGTCGGTCTGTCGTACTGTGACGGCTTGCGTGTTGCTGTGACGCTGAAGGCTATACCCCTAGTGTCTCAAACACAACCTTCTCCACCATGGGCCACCCCACTACCCCACTACCGTGGACAGAGCTTCTGAACTCAGACAGACTAGGAAAAAGTCCTGCTGAGACACTTGTATTTCCAAAAATGAGCCAGTGAAAAGTCTATGCACCACAGCAAGATTGCTGGAAGACAAGCCCCTCAGGTTGGAAGGTACTCAAAATATGACCAGGGAAGAGCTACCCCTTGAGAGTAGAGAGGACTTTCAGGAGGCAGGTGAACCTTCATTAGTGGATGGAGTACCATTCAAAACGAGAAGCAACAGCTGTAAACATCATTCGACAGGGAGCTCAAATGTAGCAGCGACTGACCTTGTGACAGGACAAGGTGACTTTTATTCTGTCATACATACGGTCACTCTGAGACACAGCCGACTTGACAGCAACTAACCACAACAGACAGCCAGGCCTTTCTTCTTCATGTCCTCTGGGTGGACTCAAACCCCTACTCTTAACTATTTGCTCCGCCATTTGGCAGATGTTCTATAAACATTGGTGGAATGACTGACTGACTGACTGAATGAATGAATGGAATCCAGGAGAGAAAAGGAATCAGGGTTTGGATTGTTGTTAAGTGCCATCGAATCAGTTCTGATCCATAGCGACCCTGTATAGGGTTTCCAAGGAGTGGCTGGTGAGCTTGAACCACTGACCTTGAGGTTCAAACCGACTTTGCAGTCCAGCACATGAACCCACAGTGCCACACCAGGACTCCAACCCATTGACCCCAAGTCAGTTCCGACTCATAACCACCCTCTAGGATACAGCAGAGCTGCCCCTCATCGGGTTTCCAAGGCTGTCTTCTTCATAGAAGCCGATGGCCACATCTTTCTCCCACAGAGTGGCTGACGGGTGGGTTCAAACCCCTGACCTTTCAGTTAGCAGCCCAGCACTTAATCACTGCACCACCAGGATAAAGACAGCAATGACCTTATTTTCTGGAGGGCAAGCCCAAGGCCCAGAGAAGTGAAACCAGACCCCATCTTAAGTGTGCTCATTTTCCAGGCCCTGTTTCATAGCCTGATGACACCATAATCCTGAATGGAAGTAGATCAGAACCTCCCATCACTCCCCCAAAACACGGTCACTATCCAAGGCTGCCATGCAGCATCCCTGACCCCCCTCCCTGGATCCTATCCACACTCCCCTTCCGGGTAACATACCGATAGATTTTTGACGGAGCATCAGCCCGGGTCCTGGGGGCAGGTAGGAAGGACGCTCGTAACTTGGCTGGGAGCGGTGATGGGGATCAAAGCTCGACTTTGGGTTGGTAATCAGGAAAGGAGAGAAAAGACAAGTCAGTCAGGGCGGGAAGATTGAGGCTTTATGGGCGCAGCCATCCCCACTACCGCCCCCAACCCCCATTCATTCACCAAGTCTTGCGGGAAGAGGGTGGGTGTGAGGCAGGCAGAGTGCAGGAGGCAAAGAGCAAAAAAGCACATTATCATCCAGTTCTGGTTGTCCAAAAGGTTGGTGTTGCTAAGGACCGTCAAGTTGGTCCCGACTCATAGTGACCCTGTATAAGGTTTCTGAGGAGCAGCTGGTGGGTTTGAACTGCTGACCTTGTGATTCAAACTGACCTTGTGGTCCAGTACTTATTCTACAAGCCCACACCAAGACCTCAGAAACCCTATATAGAGCAGTCGTACTATGCCCTACAGGGTCACTGGGAATGGACATCAATTCGATGGCAGTGGGTTCGTCTACACTGAAGGAGCCCTGGTGGCACAATGCTTAAGTGCTCAGCCCACTCCCCAGGAGAAAGGTGTGGCACGCTGCTGCTACCTTTGAGATTTATGGCCTTGGAAACCCTGTGGGGCAGTTCTACCCTGTTCTATAGGGTCGTGATGAGCAGGGGCCAACTCAGTGGCAGCGTGTGTGTGATTATGTATTCAAATCTATTTATAAATGTATATATAATGTTTCCAACCCCCTGAGGCAAATAAAGATTGGATTTATAAAACTACTGATAAAGGAAAAGAAGTAATAATGAAAATCCAAATCATAAATAAATAAAAAGAGGCATGTGACTTATACCAGAATGGATTGCTCACATTGGTGGAATGGGGGCTACCTCTACCTCCAGCCCCCTGGCCCATCTATGCCTTTTTGCATTCCATCACCTCCTCTATTGCTTACCTGGCGCTTCTTCTTATCAAATTAAAAAAAAAAATTTATTTTGGTTAAAGTATATGAAGTCAAAGAGACACCATGTCAACATTTTCTATATGTGTGTGGGGTAAGTAAAAAAAAAAAAAAATTCTTGCTACAAAATCAAAGAACCTTTTATTTAACAAAAATATCCAAATGTGAAGCTAGTGTTTCTCCACATAGCCTCCATCTAGGTCTAGACACTTCTGAAGGCTGTCTTTCCATCTCTCTGAACCCTGCTTCCCTGCAAAAAACCCTGCACTTCTCCGGGAGGGGGGGTGCTCCATGTTCCTATTCAATGTTGTTGGAGTTTGGGGAACAGCAAGATTAGGACTATTGGGCAAATGGGGTAAGGTTTCCCCATAAAACTTTCCTAGCAGAACCCTTGTTGCCCTTAAAGAATGAACAGGCATGCTGGCGTGATGGACAAAATTATTTGGTACCACTTTTCTGACCTTTTCCTCACACCTATGCATTTTTCCATTTTCTTAAAACTTTGTAATAAGTCCCCTGATTGTCCTGTGTCCTTCGAGAAAATCTATCAAGATGACCCACTGGAAGACCCCAAGAAACAATTTTAATAAACCTGCACTAACTTTTCTGCCTTGGCAGATGCCCTCAGAAGCCATTCTTTGATTGAAATCTTTTTCTTTTGATTTAATACAACCTGTGGAGTCCTGGTGTGGAGGTGTAGGATAATGCGCTGGACCACAAGGTCAACCTGAACCCCAAGGTTGGCGGTTCAAACACACCAGCGGCTCCTCGGAAACCTTATACAGGGTCATTATGAGTTGGAACCAATGCAATGACAATGAACAACACCAACACTGTTGTTAAGTGTCATTGAGTTGGTTCTGGCTCATAGTGACCCTATGTAGGATTACCAAGGCTTTTAAAATCTTTACAGAGGCAAAAGGCGTCCTCTTTATTCCACGAACCTGTTGGTGGGTTTGAAATATTGGTTGACCTTGTGGTTCACAATTCAGTACTTATCCTATGGAGCGATGGTGCTCCCAAGGAGCGTGAGACAAGTGTATTACGGAGATTATGTTGTCTGTGGTCACCCAGCATCGCAGAGACATGGTTAACCACACTTTACTGGGAATAAAGCATGCATGGATGAATTGCAACCCCAACAACAACAACAAAAGTCTTGACTGATCCACTTACAATCTACTGACACGGGCTACATTCAGGTTTTACCACCGATCATCACCTCCTTTGCTACTTTATACCACTGCCATTATCTTAAGCTCACTGCCCTGCCCCCCCCCC